CTTGAGTGACAGTAGAGTCACTTGTGAGATATTTTCTTTCTGTGTAAAACACACGGTCAACTATATTTTTGATAATACTAAAATAATTATGTTTATTTGGGACTCTTTTTTGTGTAATTTTCATTTTCACGCTTGTTTTGATTTGCTCCAAAAAATATTATGACAATGAACTTTTGTTTTCATTGTCATTTCCATGTGTTTACTTCTGACTGTTGAATCTTCTTAATTCAATCGTTCTCTCATTCATTGCAGAGAAAAAAAAACAAGACCGGAATTCACTTTCTCTAAATATGCTTTTCTGTTTGTATTCTCTCTTGGAATTGCTGTCGCCATGGGGATGATGATGTATATGAAGAAGAGCAATCCGCCACACATTGTTTTTATTCTCGCAGATGACTTAGGTAAAATGTATAGTAAGGCATCTTATTATGTTTAATATTTTTGTTCAGAGAATTTGTTGAGCAAACTAATAAATTACATATGCAGTGAATTATTGCTGATAATACTTAAAGCAGGGGATTCGTCATGCTCAGATGGCCATAGTGTGTCATTGTTTACAAACAAGCGTCTACCCATGAACCTTTGCATTTTTAGCATGTGTTGTTATCGTCGCTCAGGACTCAATTCCCACGCGTGCGCAGGTGACGACACTCACATTTTAATGTATGTGCATTTCATGTCATTACTCAAATCTAATGTGCTACAAAAATACAATTGAATTATTCAGTGTGATAACATACTCGTCCTCAATTGAAGTACCAGGGATTATGTTCTACCACTAATACAACATGATGCATTTTCCCACTAAAGTTACATTAGCCAATAACATTGCAATGACTCATTTTGTTGTTAACATTAAAGCTGTCATATACACTTCTGTTGACATAATTAGTTCCAGTAAAGCTGGATTGTCTTAGTATATCAGAGATAGATTTTATGACATGCAGAATGAGGGCGCTTTATTATTGGATGGAGAGTCATTGTATTAATCAAAACTATATATCTTGAATATGAGAATCGCAAAGTGGTCAGACACGCAAAACATTTATATTGCATTCATTATCAAACCTATTTGTACCTAGTTGATATTAGAAAGACCCAAAAAATGAAATAACTCAAACGATTGCTTGATTTTAAGTATGCATACGTTCCATAATTTTGTGCATAACAAAAGCTATGATTTATTTGAACGTGTCCTTTGCATCTGTGTATTTTTATGAATAAATGATAAATATTTATATTTCTTTTAGGTTGGAATGATATTGGCTGGAACAACCCAATAATAAAAACACCAGTACTTGACTCATTGGCCAGAGAGGGGGTGATTTTTAACCAGACGTACTCTCAGCCAGTGTGTACCCCGTAAGCCAAATTCTTTCTTTCTGTATGTGTTATCACTCATTGTTGATACAGTGGAGACGTAATTTTTAAGTTCAAATGCTCTAATAATTCCTCAAAAAAATCAAGTAATTTGTCCATAACACATCCAATAATACCAATACCAATAACCAACTTCATCAATCGATATCATTCAACAGTGTCAATAAGTCTGCATCAACGCTCGAATCAGGTCACAGTTCACTAACATCAAGTGATCAGGGCCGGGTCAACTGGGGTCAACTTGCCAATGTTCATCCAGGTACATCGTTAAGGGCGCTGTTCAATACAGAGTTATCATCATTTCATACGTAGACATTCTGAATTGGTCGTACGTACTCATGTGCAGGGGTACATTGATTACAGTTATCATCTCACAATACAAGAATCTATCTATAATG